TGTGATTCTGTGATTCTGTGATTCTGTAGCTTCTAGTTGGTTTTTTGATTTTGTGCAAGGTTATTTACAAAGATAGCCAGTCCCTTGTAGCAATTAATGGCATTTTTTTCAGTGTAAGACACTAAATTGGAGTTTCTTTTGTGTTTCAAAAGACATGGAAAGCCTCCCTTAAACACAACCAGCTTTCTCCAGCTCTTTCTCTGCAAGAACTCATGGAAATCAGGATGCCTTTGTCTGCTACAGACAAGTTAGCCCAATCAGCTGATTCTTGTCAGTACGAGAGACTGCATCTGCCGAGCTCTGAATCACGCCCTCACTATCTTTTCCATCCACTTTGAGAAACGGGAGGAGGGAAGGGCATCTTAAGTTCATAGATATGAATTGATCATAGACACGTTGATAGATAAAGTTCACAGATCTAGATATAGTTTATCGGTCACAGATCACAGATCAGAGGTGTAGCTCCCAGATACGTGCCTGACTAAGCCAGAGCAGTGTGTCTGTTTCCAGAGAGCACGTCACAGGTTGCTAAAGACCTTATTCCAGGCCCAAGAACCCAATTGTTCTTGTGCTGGTCGAAGGACTGAAACTTCTGGGCCATCCAGAAGCTCTCTGGACAATAATCTAAAGGCCCACAGAGAGCTGCTTTTGTACAGGATAAAGCAATAAGCTATTTTAAGTATGGATATAACATTCTGGCCTAGCTTTACTGTGGGGTTTCAACTATCAATCCGACCTGAGAAATTCAGCCACTCTACATAAACACACAGGATTGGGAGAGAATTACTGAGTGAGGGACGCAGCTATTACAAATCCCACTCAGGGAAGAGGCAAATGGCTAGTGTTATTTTTCTGAGATTAAAAGCCAACTGTTACAATATAATGTTCTAAATGCCACAGTAAACAAACCTTCTGCCTTAAATATTCAATTACTTTTCTCTATTCCAGAGCTGACATCTGTCACAAAGTTCTGTACAGCTCTGACAAATCAGATCCTTCTTGATAACATCTTAGGGGGGAGGGTGGTTAGGAAAGACATAAACATAAGAACTTACATTTTCCGGTAAATATTCCCGATTCCTTGAGTAGACATTCAGAGACAGGGTCCGGCAGGGTCTGCTCTTGAACCTAAAAAGTAAACCAACAGGTGCAATGAACATGCATATCATATACACATTACACACTTATTGTTTATAAAGTGTGGAGGGGTTTTGTGGGTTTTTAAAATTTGTTCCTCTGGTTTTGGTTTGTTTCCTTTTTTTTACAGCCAGCCTTGTGTATGTCAATCTCCCCTTTGCCCAGGCTGTTCTGCAAATGAGGGAAAACATGCCCCAAAATGTAGAAGATCATATTGATCCTTAGAAAGTCAGAATTATTTGGAGTTTTTTTTGTTAGTGCATATAGCAGTGTTAAACAGGAGGCTCCCTAGTGTGGGCTACCTACTCTCAAAGAGGCTGAAACCACTGAGTCTCTCTTATTTACCTGCAGACTGCCATTAGCAAATCCTAACATGCTGTATTTGCAATGTATTGCAGACATGTTGCAGAGACAAGAAGTCTGGAAGGAAGTTAAGACCTCAGAGAGCTCCACCACAATTTCTTCTCAAGAACCACGGGGCAGAACAAACAAACAATCTTGTGCAAAAGTTTGCATTTGTTCTTTGATAGTACTAATTAATAATATCCAATGCTATTCAGCATAGCAATCCAGAAAGTGAATAAACAGGGGACAAGATTTACTGATCATCCTGGGGCAACTAGGGCAGTAAAGACAAAGGGCAACTACAAAAAGTTTCAGATAGACTTCAATGAGTGAGCATGATAAAATGGCTAATTATGTTCACTGTAGGTAAATGTAAAAATGCTACACGGGGAACCAGTCCCAACTTTACAATACAGCATGGGGCTCCAAACAAAATAATAGCAGATTAAAATGAAATCTTGGCTTTATTATAAGTAGTTCTACAATGACATGAGCTCAATCCTCATTAGTAATCAAGAAGCCAAATAGGAAATTAGAAGTCCAGACTCATTCTTTATAGTTTCATTCATCATTAGAAGTATACTTCCTGTCACCCAGAATATATCAAATGGACCTACATTGTGCCTAAAAAAATTCAAAGGCTTGTCAACACTTTTCTGCCACTGTTCTATTATATCTCTGCAGTACAACCACTGACATCCTGGATTTTATATGTGTATGTTCCCAGACTGCAATATACTTACAGTAGTAGCAAATGTCCTTGGGGTAATTAAATAGGTAAAACCGAACGAGAACTGTGCTCTGAAATAAACACACACAGGGAATCTGCAGGACATGGGAAAACCCCCTCTGATTAGGGGCACCTTTCTCACAAACCAGTGACTCTGTCTTCAATATCTGATGCCTTTGTCTCAGAATAACTTTAAAAGACCAGTCTGGGAAATAAAATTTGTAACTCTACTGAATATCAAAACCCGTGGACACAATAAAGCCGCTGTTTTTATAGAATGCAGAATAACACCCTCCCTTACAGGCCACAAACCATCTGTGCCAAGCCACCTTCTTCTTTTCTCCCTCTTCCTCCTTTCTTGGCTACTCAGATTCCTTCATTCCACTGGTGCCCACTATCTTTTCTTTCAGATATGGTTTATTTTTCTATTATTTCAACTACTTCTGCTTATAAACATTGTCCTACCTGCCTTCTTAGGTCCTTACAGCTAGAACAAAATACCACCACAGTAAAGGAGTTATTGGAAAAGAAATAAAAAATAGAAAGTATTACCATGCTCCTACGCCTGACCATATTGTATAGCATCTTCTGTGTGAGGAATAACTAAAGTAGGACTAACTGTTCTGGAAAAGAGAGATTTAGAAGAGGTTGTAACACAGCAGGGCATGAACCTCGAGTGGCTTGAAAAAGGGAATAGGGAATAATAGTTTAGCTTCTTCCAACACAAAAACTAGGGGATATTAAATAAACCTAGAGACAAACAGAAATAGGTTCTTTGTGCTATGCAAGGTGAGCTGGGAAACTTGCCACAGAGCATTGTAAGTTGTAACAGCACACATGGGTTCAAAAAGATAGTTGATGAATTAACGCAACAAAAATCCATGGCAGGATACTAAACACAAAGGTTAAGCTAAAAAGTCCCTGTGAGATAAATTTCTAAGGGGTGGATGAGTGTTTCAGAGAGACTCCACTGCATGTTTGTTCTATTCTTACACTCTTGCTAGGCACCCACTATTGGGCACAGTCAGAGTTGGGTCCGGTGCACCAGGTACCGGTGTGACCTGCTAGTAAAGCTGACGTGTTAAGGATTACCGAACTCATGGGAAAGACAGATGACAATGTTATGCTGGAGAAGACAAATTATCTAGCATATCTACATCATTCTGACAGAATAAGCATCCATCCACAAAATCTTGATGGTACCAGCAAATACAGAATGACAGGGAGATCAATGGCTCAGTCACAACAGCTTTTGTTATTCCATTGCTGATGCAGCATGTTTCAGAGTTAGAAAAGGGGTATGAAGAGCATCACAGATGAACAGCAAGATTAAAGGCAGAGGCTCTGAGTAAGGACCAGACAGTCCAGGTCCAGGCTTCTGCAATGGAAGAGGTCCTGGTGAATGCTCACAATAAACAAGTGATCGAGAAAAGAAAGGTGAACTTCAATGTGTGTTCATGAAATCCCACACTTCATAAGGTGTCTGAACAGTTTAACATGCCACAAACAAAGATGCGACCAAATTAACTGTTGCCAGTGTTAACTAGCACTAGAGAAGTCAATGGATTAGAGTCACTGACTCAGCGAAATCAAATTCCAATATCATGACATTTCCCTTTCTCTTACAAGCCACCAGGAGATGAGACAAGACAGAACAGGAGGGCTTGAGAACAGCACAAGGCTCATCAGGAACCATACATGACCGGCAGCACTTTAGCTGAACCAGCCGGAATTTGGACTGGTTCAGCTTTAGATCTTCTCACAGACTTACAAGTAAGAGTGTGTCCACTAGAAAAACATGTCCTCTTTGAAGGAACAGTAGGTGCCCATGAAGATTCTAAGAAAGTAGAAGATTTGATGGAAAACAGGTCAAAGACTGCCCCACACCATCTTGCGCAGAAGATCTTGCAGGATCTTTGCACAGACACTTGACTGTTGGGCTGGAGAAGTACGAGGCAAGACTCTAGTGCTTGAAAATACAGCCTTCCTCCAAGTAGGAAAATGCTTACTGTAACAGTAGAGGGACATTTTTATGTTGCAAAATGCACACAGACCTGTGGAGATGCTAGTCAAAAAAAGGAAAGAGTCAAAAGTAAGTGGGGGGCTGGGAGGGAGAGATTAAATGACATGATGCCAGATTCTTCTCATGTAAGATATTTAATTTGTGGAGGAAGAAATAGGCAAGAGTACACTCTGTGTGGAAAATATAGAAAAATCTTTGGTTTGGAGTGACAGGGTGCACAACTACTCATTGCCCAGATAACTGTGTGGCAAAAGTCACTGACAGCGGCATAAACCTTCAGGTGTGCCTAAATGAAAAAAACCCCCTCTAACCTCTGTCCAGGTAAGTAAAGAAAAAAATACATATATATAATGCAGTATAGCCCTCCTTGTAGTCTTGTTAATTAATCAAGGAAACGAAAATATGGAAGACCTTTTTTTAAAAAAAAATTGCAGAAATTATTGAAATAAAAAAAATAGTTGTATTAATTCTTCTGCAGAGCTTTACTCCATCATAGAAATCAGTGTCTCCTACTTCCATGTTATGTTTCAGAAAGACATATTTCTAAAGAGTTCTGAACAGAGAGGCCCCTACCTGTTGATCCTCTGTTCTTAACCCCGCTTGTGTAAAAGGTCTTTCGTCTCCCTCCCTATCAGCAGTTTTTGGTCTCTTGAGCTCTTCTTTATATCTCAAGGAGCTGACATCTTCCATTTCTCCATCATAGGTCTCATCATAGCAGTATATAGCTTCAAGAATATCATCATCAGTAGTGAAGAGTATCGTATCCCCAAAGTGCTCTGGAGCTGAAGGCAACATACAGAATTAAATGGAGAAACCATTGAAAAGAATATAGAGAGTGATAAAAACTATTTTTGGTCCTTCTTTACTTTTAATTTGCAGCAGTGTTTAAAGATAATATATGCAGATTGATACTGACTACTGATATAACCAGTATGTTCATTCTCAAACTTATACAGCAAAGCAGAAAAACCTAGAGACCGCAGTCAGATTTCAAATATCTACAAAAGAAAATGGGGAAAAAAGCTTCCCCTTCACCTTCTCCAAAAGAGTGTATCTGTGAAAGCAAGTAAAAATCTGCAACTTTTAATTGTCTAGTGACTATCTGATGTTATGGAAATATGGTCTTTTTGCTAAAACAACGTTAAGAATAGAGATTAGCTCTATATGCTACTGAAATTCACAGTATCATAGAAGAATGCATTAGTGGGGTTTGTATTATGTTTTGAAATTAAAAGAACTAAACACTCTACAAAGTGCCAGCTTGATTTGAAGTGGAAAGTGATAACAAACAAGCTAAATGTATTGTTTGCATTGTACTGCTGTTTCCACAAAGAAATTATAGCATACCTCCAGACAAGGTTCCTGAAGCTTTGGCAATTTCTCCTTTAAAGATGCATTGTTCATCTAAGACCATGATAATGTCTTTCACACCTCTGAAAGACGAGATTTATTATAATTCCAAATCCTAATCATAGCTACTTGACAGGAATTCACGAAGTCAATAAAGATGAAGTGAGGTTTTCCAGGGGTAAATGGTGCTAGCCAGAGATGCATATCATCCTGCGTCCGATTTACCCCATCAATTAGGTTGGTTATTATTCTGGGATCATTGCCATAAGCTGGTAAAATATTTATATCAGGTGGTTCAGCTGTTATTTTTGAAATCTGAACAGGCTCTCCTTTAGAACTGAAAACTTCAATTCCATTAAGACCAACATAATGTCTGTCTCCCCATGTTGTTCGAATGTCTATCACCAAGTGCTGCCCAGAAGGTAAAACAGGAATCTTAAAATCATTTCCATCATGTGCCTCTAAAGAATTCTCTTCTTCTTGCCTTTTCGGTACTGTTTGCAATCCCTCTTTTCTCATTTGCTGATATTCTCCAGGCCGGTTGATTTTCTGTTGATGGAGAAACTCATCGAAAACATCCCCTTGAAAATCCATGTTAGAGATTCGGCCGCGATGGGAATAATTAAACTTTACCAAGGAGTTCCACAACTCCTGCAGAGTGTGTTCTTGTTCGCTGTGCCACTTTGCTCTGGAGGTTGCTATGCCCTTGACAGAGTAGTCTTCATCTGAAAACAACATTACACAGGCATTTAATGCACAAACAGGACTGGAAGCAAGCCACTAGAACACGGACTTTCCAGAATGATGCTGGTCATATTTGTGTTCCCTTACCGTGAAATCCTGTTACAGTAGGACTTTTATATTGCCTCTCTATTATGAGGGCTACATGTCCCAATTTCCCTTCCCCATTTAGACATAACAAAAATCACTTTTAACTACTGTAGAGCAGAGCACATGCCAAAATACAAAAATGCAACGAAGTTTGAGACTGCGAATTCTTGACTCAACACTTAGAGAAATTGGGATTTTGCCCAGTGACACTTATTGTGCAGCTGTCACAACAGTTCCAATCATCTGCCTGCATTTCTGGAGAAGCTCTTTCATACAGTTGGCAATGGCTGAACTGGTGAAGTTCCTCAAGCATTACAGAGCAAGGCTAGTGCTTGCTGTCAAAATCAGCCACGTGTTTATAAAGAAAAGTGGGGAGAAAAGAAGTAGGTTCAGCATACAAAGGATTGCATTCTACCCAGGTAATGTACAAACATTTTTGTCACTTTTCAGCAAAAGTGAGATGTAGAAGGGGGATAACGACAAAGTATCTTAACAGCAAAGCAGTGGGGTGATGTGCTAGAGGGGCACAGTGGAGCAAAGCATGCTCTGCTTGGGACTGCACCAAGGAGCTGCTTCATTTCCATCTCAAAACAATTAAGAGCAGATAATAACAAAGATTTTCAATAAAGCTGTTACTTATGTATTTTCTTCAAAGAAATGAAGACAAGCAAGTGGAGTACTAAACAATTACAGGCCCGTGGGCTAGATTTTATTTCTGTACAATGTCCTTGAGTGGATACTAAAACAAATGGTTATTAAGAATAAATGACAATTGCCGTAAAATGCAAAATAATGTTTTCCCAAAAGACTGCTCAAGACTATCTTTTAGCTTTGTTTTTGGAAACACTGGGAAAGAGGCAATGTTCCTAGTCTATCTATGGCCAATAATCATTTACACTGGGGACAAGTGAGATAAGAATAAGAATTTTAAAGCAGATGGGAAACTACCTGAAAGAGGGTTGTCTTCCAGAATGAAAGGCTGGAGACCAACCTGGCCATTCCTCCTTCCCCCGGAAGGGAAATACAGACAGGAAGCAAAAGTACATATTTTGGAGAACACCAGCCATTTGTAAGTCACTTTCTTGTTCAAACCATTTTCCACATGGATACTCATGAGGTGGGTGATCCCAACCAGCACTTCCCAGAGCCTCACAGTTGACCTGAAGAAGATCCTGTACACATATTTACCACTTTAAAATGTCAAAGCTTGAAAATTTCAGGATGAGCATGTACAGAAGAGTATTTGACACCCAATGGCTTTGCTTGTTTTGGAGGTTCTCCCCCCCCCTTTTTTTTTTTTTTATGTTAAGTACTTCAATCAGTACAGAGACTACAGCTCTAAAGCACTCCTACAGCAGCTCAATAGGGGTGATTTTCAACGGGAGGCTAACAGGTTTGTTAGCTACATTAATGACACCAGAAGAAGCAGAGCTCTGAAACAAAAGCCAAGAACAGCCCAAAAGGAGAGGTCAAAGGCTGAGGGCTTACAGGATTCAGCCTTTTTTTTTAAATATAAAATTTATTATTTTTATTGAAGACATGTGAACAACAAACTCTGCATGCAGATAAAGAGTATCCCACTTGCAGATGTTACAGATGCATTCCCAGCCTTTTGCATGCCTGAGAGGAGTGGATGATGGACGCTATCCCAGAGTCCAGAAATAACGACACCTCAAGTGTGCACATCCCCTGTAGGTTTAGGAGGGGTGTCTTGAATCATCAAGTCCCTTGTCCTGCTTCTGCTGGCAACAGACACCACATAGTTCCTCTCAAAACTTCAATAAACTACATTTTGGGGCAACACTAGTGTGAATAATCCACCTTTCTTCTCCCTCTGTTGTGCTAATCTCACTTTTACTCCCTGCAGCTATAAACAGCAATCATATCTCCATGCTGCAATCACACGCTTCATTTCCCAAATCATTCTAAAAGCTCTCTTCTGTATCTGTTCCACTTGGTAATCAGCTTTCCTGAAAACGGATGATCAGAACTGCAGTTTTCCAACTGACGCCTGAAGAGTGCCTGCGTTGAGATATTACCATTTCCCTAACTCACAGAATGCCTCTGCTGACATATCCTTGGAGTGCGCTGCTGCAATCACGCCTGCGTCACACCAGCATTTCATAGTCAATCTGCGATCAACTACTCAGCCAGATCCTTCTCTTCCTTGGTCATTTGCAATTGATGATTACTGAACTTACAACTTAATTTTTTGTTATTAGTCCCCAAATGACCTTGCGAGCAGTACTATTGAATTGCTATTACTCCAGTCCTTAGTTCATCTTTCTTTCATCAAGTTCTTCAATCTCCTTAACTCATAATCCCCCAAATTAGAGGTTATTTGCAAATTTTAGCAGCGTACTTCCATCATTTCCTTTGCACATTAAACCAGTTATCAAAGAAAAATTGTATGTTTTTATAGCAACATTAACTCGAGCCAAGTGTGCACGTACGTGCTATTTCTGATTTCCGCTGTTCTCGTTATTCTTCGTTTAATGACCAAAGGCGAGCTGTGATATTGCACACGAGCTTGCGCAGCCTCCCCTCGGCCACATACTGCTGTTGGAGACCCCAGTTCCCCCAGCCCCGTACCAATTAAAATCCAGTGCTCTCAGGAAACACTTCAATCTGTTTCCCTGGTGTTAATGCTCACTCGGCTTCACTTTGGAGATGGCTTTACCCTGCACAGTACAGCTCAGAAAGAACAAAAGCTGCTAGCTGGCATGCAATTTTCCCAGGGACAAACACATCTTGGGAGGTTTAAGCACCAGATGACGAAAGTGGCTCTGAGCAAAATGACAGGACATTATAGTTAGAATCACGATAACCCTCATCATATAGTTTACATTAAAACTCCTCAATTGTTACAATTTTTACACTTTCCATAATGCTGGCAAGTTTTTAATCTAACAGAGAGACTGTAAAATGTGTGAAACAGCAAAGGGGCTGCGGTGCGTGGGTGGGCGAAGGGGAGGTGGCAGTTATTCCAATTACTGCCGTACTTTTTCTTCTTTGAGGTATAATTTCAGATATAAGATTGCTGGTTTTCCACGGAGGGGTAGAGAAGGAAAAATTCAGGCATTCTAAGTTTGGAAAGAACCATTTTCCTCACCTTTGTCTGAAAAATTCATGCAGCACCTTCTGCGGAATTTGATTCCTGTGTTTAGGGATATCTCCTGTCCCTTATAACCATAATTTAATCTAAACACCCCAATACAGTATACAGCAAGCTACACTTGCATGTAAATTGTTCTGATGCTAAATCACTCCCAAACTTTAAATTTGTACTTTTGTAACTTCTTCTTCCAATTCTCTGGGCCTTGTTCTGCCAGACTCTCTTCATTTGAAACAAGTTTTTGAACACTGAAGAATCACCAAATGCCAAAGAAGGGGTATGAAGGGTCCAAAAAAAGAGTCTGAGTGACACATGGCTTGAAACTGAAAAGGGGAGATTAAAAATATGCCCTGAGCAATGGAAATCCAAAAGGTTGGTTAAAAGCGAGACAAAGTAGAACTTGTGGGTAAGAAATTCTATTCCTCTGTTATTTACAGTTGTTAAGCACTAAATATTACTCCATGCCCAGAAAATTTCTCAGCCATAGATTGCTGGGCACTGGGAGAGAGCAGGAACCGCAGAACTTGCCCAGTTCTCATACTCTTCCCCGGGGACACACTGTTGGCTACTGCCAGAGGCAGAACAAATACGGATCCTCCACCTCCAACGGGATCCAGGTGAACTAAAAAAGGTTTGGAGAAGGATGACAAGGATAATCAAAAGTATGGAGCAGATAACAGATAAATTTACTAGAAAACTCTTCATAAATAAACAGTGACGTCTGAGAGAGAGGTTTGAAAGAAGTGTGTAATGTCATGAGCGGAGAAGGGAAAATAAGGGCAGCTTTCCATTTGCTCTGAATAAATACATTCAGCAGACACTCTCACTGAGAAAGAGACAAACCTACTACACAAATAAACTCTGCAAATTTACTCATTACCTTGAGGTCACACTCTTTTTTATCTTTTTGCAGGTTTTCATTGATTTAGCAAACATTTGCTGCCTGCAGGACTGTCAACTTTTAGAATATGATTTACTGAAATAGTCTTCAGTCTTCTCCAACTAAATTTAAAAACATTAACTCAGAATGTAAATTTTTCAGAAAAAGAGCATTTCACAGCAGGTATAGGACAAGGAGAGAGACTGAGCATTGTCATAGTATGAATGAGAAAAAACAAATACTTCAAACAGCAAAACTAAAAGCACCCTGTCTGTACTGCCAGGAATCTCAAGTGGTCCCTTCCCCTCTAAATGATTCTGTGCTTCTGCAAAATGGAGAACATGTGAGCACTTGCACGGAGGCTGCTGTTGTGAGCTCTTACCTTTGAAAGCGAAATCATCTTCTCCAAGATTTAGAGTGTTTAATCCTGCCTTTTTTACACATCTGACACTTCTCCTTCCACTTGTAGGGTACTGCAAGCTGCAGCAATTTTTGTTAGAAAGTTGCTCCAAAATGTCCAAGCCCACATCACCATCCTTCCCGGCTGTCATTTGTGATCTCTCATCTCCATTGGCATTTCTACTAGATCTTCCCAGTTCATTTCTCTGACCTTTGACATCCTCATTGATCGGATCTGGCTGTGTTTGAAATCTCAACCCTAAACAATGTTCTGCAGCAAGCCAGGGAGGCTTCTGCTTACTGGAAGCAACTTTATTATTCTTTGTTGGTTGGGAAGATGACTGTAACCAAGAAGGAGTTGCATGTGTAGAATCAGACAATTTTCTTCCTGTTACCTTTTCCATTTGCTCACTCAAAGAAAGTTCATCATCACATCGAATGCGCTCTGTAACCGCTTGTACTGTTGCATTCTCTTTGGCATCTTTTATACAAGCTTGAGATGGTAACACTTTCAGACCATCCTCTAACTCAGACAAATTTTTCTTTGTAAAGCTGATTGAGTTCATCTTACGCTCAAGAAGATTTTCTTCTGGCAGAGATTTCCAGTTTAGTGAAGCACTGTTTGACTGTAAGCATTTAAAATGTAGGTCTGCTTTCTCCTCTGGGACTGTAGGTGTGTTTGCTTCTTTCCTTTCATCTGAAGAACATGCAGAGCTATCTCGCTTGTGATCTGTAAGGTCAATTGTCGTGCTATGGTCAGTGAGGAGATCTCCAGAGGCTCTCTCTAATTCACCATCAAATACAAGGTTCTCATCAACATAAAGCTTCACCTTCTTTGCTCCAACATTAAGGTCCTACAAAAATAAAAGTATGAACATTTCAATTAAGCTGTTCAAGCATTAGATATCACTGTTCTGGAACTCTGATATTTGAACACTTAATCAATAAACAGACAAAAACAATTAAAACCCTGTATCAGTAACATGCTTTTGACTACTTTTAACCAAAAGCTCAAACAACTGAAAAATACAGTGGAGTATTTAAGATTTTATTGAAAAGGACTAAAAACCCTGCTAGACACTACTATGAACCATTTTGGCTGACAAGACTTAAATATTTAGAAAAGCTCAAGTGAAGAAGCCTAGATTATGTATAATTATATTTGATCAGGATATAAATTCCAGGGGCACATTTTGCTTCAGAATTTTTAAGATTTGTCACTTTCACAACATGTTCCACAGTGAACAACCATCCAGATCAAAGTCACTAGAGTTAAAAAGAGTTATAGAGAGTCATAGAAATACAGGGCTGAAAAGGACACAAAAAAAAAAAAAAAAATCATCCAGTCCATCTTTTTCCACTGAAGAAAGTAAAATAATCGATACCATTGTGAAGAAATCTGTTTTTAACAGTTTTCAAATAATCTGCCTTGATACCCTGTTCCAACACTTAACCACCCTTTTAATTAGAAGGTCTTTATCTCAGACACAACTCTGCCACTCACAATTTTATCTCTATGTTCTCCTTTTCTATGGCACCCACTAAAATCTGATTTTTTTCATTCCATTGAAGTTAGAACTAATGTTCTTTCTATTCTCTTTATCTTTTCCATCCAACCTTTTCTCCCCCTTGACAAAAACCAGTATCTTCAAAGAAAATATAGAAGATGAGACAAAATCCATCTCTGTTCTGCCCTGTACGTTTCAGTAACATGTCCATCACATGGAGTCTTTAAAGACTCTCTGTT